TCAATGGTACTTTAAGTAAATGTTTTCAAGGAGACATTGAAAATAAAATTTGCACCTTTCCCACGTAAATTGGAAAAGAAACCGAGAGTATCTACAATCTTTATCCACAAACGAACCCGAAACAAGATGCGTAAGGAATTCCAAACGGCAAAAACCACTCGATGGGGACGATAAAACGAAATCGCCGATGCGTTGTCGAAAAAAAAATGCAAGTGCTGCGTGCGAGGGAGAGACAAAAAACATATCGTATCGCGGTTCCACTCTAGCGCGCGCGGCTAATGAATATTGTGCTGTGCGCCCGCGCAGCTGCCAGCGACCGCGCATCGATCCGCCATTATTTATTTTATTTCGGCGCGAAACGCTGAATTGGATCATGGCGACAAAGAGGTTAAATTGCGCGTCCAAATCCCATGACAATTGACAATTACTGTGTTAAACGAAACGCAGACAGATGTAAACAAATACACAATGTTAGCTTTTCATGCATGGAGCATAATAGCAAAAGAGCAGTGTCTGTCACAGACAGTTTTTACAACTGTTGCTTTTGTCATCTTTTGATAGTGCTCCGAAGTGACGCGACGCGCCCGTGAAGTGGCTCATCGGTGGTAAGACGTGGCCTGACCTAAAGCGCTACGAATAGGCGGCACAAAAGATTTCAATCGCGCATACAACGATGTAAATCATATGATATATCTACAAATAGGTCATCTCGGAGGACGCGCGTGCGCTCATCCGTTACGACTATGTTTTTTTCCGGCGCTACTCGCCCCATGTAATTACAAATACGCTAGTTATTAATGCTAAGAAAACTGCGCTGTTTACGTACCACATAGTTATTTTGTAATTTATTAGTTTTTAACCGATAGACTTTTATTACAAATATTCTTCAAACAGCAGTTATAATAAACGGGAGCATTAATTAAAAGTCCATTAATAGTGAACTTATCAGCTCGTAAATTAACAATCTGGAATTATTTGTGGAATAAAAACTAAATGTCAATAGGTCTCCTTCTTGCTTCCAGCTAAAAACCTTTACTATGTGAATATTTGCAACTAAGTACCATCATGAGTGAGAATAAAGGTGTTCCAATAACGATGGCATCTACAACAATCACAGAATGCGTTCGTAATTAGCAATGAGCGTCGTTTAAAGTAGGTGTCTGTTCCGTAATTACCGCGGTGTTTGTGAGAACCGAGCGAAAAACACTCATGCAATGCGCATAATACAGTATGCTAAAGAATGGGCTCACGCCATTCTAGGCTGGGCTAATAGAGATACAAGAATCGAACTGTGACGAGAAACAAAAATTAAAAAAAAAATAAAGTCCAAACTACATGACCTTCTCATCGCGTGCTTTTTATTTTAATTAGGCGCTCCTTGACACGCTAGCGTTACTGAAAACAAAGGGCTTTTTTTACAAAATTGTAATTTTCAAATTAAAACCATGCTCCAAATATTTGCATTTCTGTAAAGATTTTATAAATGATGACAAACACGCAGTGTCAATATGAAACTCTCAATAATAATGTAAGGAATGAAAGAACAACAAAACATCGCGTCCGTATCGTGACTTCTTAATATAAACCCGCGCATTTGTTAGTTCCATTTGATGTGAAAATCATAACTATCGACCACACGGAAGATGCAATATTATACACATTTCTCTAAAAATTAAAAGTAAGACTTCGCCCAATGAAGTTATTTTGCGCTGAGCAAAAAGTTAATTAGTGCCTTTGGAAATTGACATCAGTCACGAGATGTTTGCTCGGGTGAACTTACGGATATTCAAAACAACGTTCTTCAGATTTCTGCATTAAAATATCATCGTAGTTAATCCCACATCTTCGTTTGAATCGGCAGTAATGCGTACTCGTGAATGCCAATGAGAGAGCCGGTCGCTTCCCCTCGATTGTCAATTAAAATTCCCGCAATTATATTATAATTACTTGTCATTATACGCTTCATTCAATGGTAAAATATCATCTTGATTTATCCAAGTACTTACGCATCGATGCCATCAGCAATTTTCCTTTTAGCGTCACATAAATTGAAGCGTTTAATAACAGTTCTAAAGGTCAAGTGTGTATTACACATCCGTCAGGGGATCGTTGCGCAACTATCGCTCATTTGCTTACAAATGACGTGTGACATTTTCATTAAAGTTTACGATTGCAAAAAATAGGTTGGTAATGCGAGTGCGTACTCGCTGCCTACTCAGCAGCAGTCATTTGAGCTACTGACTAGCCAGCCACTGGTCTGCATGGTCGATGACAGCGAAATGACAGTATCACAACTAACCCGATCACTCGTCGGAGAGCACTATATCAATCACTCTCAACAATCGCACCGCATGCCACTTAAATAAATTTATAACATATTAAGTACGTCGAAAATAAACACTTTACCGTTTATGATTTATTTCGTGTAGCGATGAGTTATGGACGTCACTTTATTAGGAGTGTTAGAGCGAGAGGACCGATTTATCTCTTTTTGTGGCGATTTCACGTTCTACGGCTACCGATAAACGTTTTATTGGAGTAATTAAAACGGACGATTAGCGTCTGTACGTGTAACTTGTCTAAATACATGATAAATGTTACGTTTTACAACGTAATCTTTGACGATATAGTTTTTATAGCCAATAAGTACGTGTCAACTGATTTTGATTTTTTTTTATTAATGCTACACTAAACACAAACTTGGATGATTCTTGTGACACTTCATTTGACGTATGTCATAGGGATAAGGTAAAGTAGATAGATTTAAAGTATTTGATTTTTGAAGCAAAAGTTCTCTCTTATAGTTTTATTTTTTTGACACACAAGAATAATGAAAATGCAATTTCAACAGATATTTGCGAAAATTTGAAAAATCATTTATCATGTCATTCAAAACACTCATCATCAAATTATCAAAAACTATTTATCGATATAGCTCATCTAGCAAGTATAATGAAGTAACCTTTGCACGTTGTCGTAAAAAATGTTTTTCCGCTCAGTTCTCACAAATAATCAATGATTTAGTGTTATTTTTATTTAAATTTAATGTATTTACTTAAACAAAGGCCATATATTTCAAAGCGAAGCTTATAAAAATAGTTTATGAAATACGTAAATTAATGCACGTCCTTACAAGGTTATATTGTACAGATTTTTATGAACTCTCACAGGGATCATTCTACATTATTTTTAGTATAGTTGTAGGTACTGTTGTTTCGTGCAAAGACGAGCGCCTTACCGAACCGAGAGACGCAAAGTTATAAATAATAAAGAGTGGTCAGTTCCATGAAACTGTCAACTCATTATCTATCTCAGTGACTGCTATCCGAGACAGGTCGTCAAAGTTCACCGTTACTTATAAAGTACCTCTATAAATACAATTTAATTTCAACATTTAACTTACAATGAAGTCTTTGACTGATAACGAATCAATAATATTATTGTTGTGGTTTAAAAGTGAAACTTAATATTGACCTACGCTACAACAAAGTCACTTCCGACAGTCAAATTGATATTATGACACGACCTCATTAGCGAAGACTTTAATGTAATTTTTTTAAATTGCATTTCACCGCAACATGTCAACGCCTATTGTGCCTATTGTAGAAAAAAGAAAAGCCACAAAGCAATTGCGGTATTATAAACTTGTAAAAACATACAAGGCTCTTGATTGTCGGTTTGTACCCAGATTACCAGTTTTACGAAGCCGAATTGTTAAAAAATGACTCTATTTACGGCGTTTTTATGTTCTTTAAATAATAGGTGTAACTATGGCGATTCGCTTCATCATGTTATTATGCGGATCGTATAATGAAACACTTGTTAAAAGCTGTGTTTATTTACGATCACTTTCTATAAAATATACCTGTCAATTTTAATAAGACTCTCATGAGAAGTTCAGCCTTCCCAGAAGTAAGGGACTATTTTTTTACAAACAAGGACATTTTTTTTACACCGGACATGATTGTTTTTAAAAGACTCGGTTCTGTTTCTCTTCCCTAATGCCCCATAAATCACCCTAAACTTTTTTTCTGAAGTAGTTTCGAGTTTTATTTTAACGACTTTCAAAATAAGAGACGTTTGTTCCTTTTTTTTTCTACTTCTTTGATTCGAGTCAACGCACTTGGTTAGGTTGTTTTCGTTTGTGAACATAGCTTTACAAAAATTAATATAAGAACGCATCGAATCGATTTCTGTCGAGGGCGCGACTTAATTTAGTTTACGACCAAATTTGCGTACAAACAAGCAAGATTTAATCGAGACGAGCAAATAGCGAGACTGAAATCGCGTAAACAATCGATAAGGGATGCCTGCGATCACAATTCGATCGATTAAGATTTACCGTTACTAATTACACTTTATAGTTATTAAGGTATTAAAACATTATGCCGAAGAAATTGCTCGCTACTGATTTACGAGAGGCCATTTTGCTCGCGACATTTTAATATTCGAATGCGTTCGCGCGCTTTTTTTACTTTTTAATTCTGATGGGTAACGGGAGCAGGTGCGCCGTACAAAGTTATTCCGTTCGGAATTCTCTTTGCGAGTAATTTTCGTTTGCCTCTGAATGGTTTTTGTATATGGAATGGTATTGGGGGAGCATGGATTTTTATTACGGATTTTCAGAAAATTTCCACAGTGCTTGCTATTCGAGCTCTTACTGAAATGATATTATAGCTGATGGCGATGCTCTAGCTACCATTTCTATGCATTTCTTTAATAATAACTACTGCTGTTGATTATCGCTATATTCTACGTTTTGGTAACAAACTAAGTTCGTTATTATTTTTGTTTTACTTCTATGGAATACATGCTCGTATACACACGGATATTCAAATTAATAACACTTAAACTCTTAAATCAAAACTTCCCAGCAAACTCACGATCTTATAAAGCCTATAAATTCTGACAAATCTAACTTTTGGCAGCGCCATCTTTTATCAATATGAGGGCAACTTTAACAATTTATGAAAACGCCATCTATGGGTAATGTTACGTACCTGTTTACTGAATACCGCGATGTCCTCGTTAAAGGACTCGGAGGAGCAGACGTCGCCCCCCGCAACGCCAGGGTCGCGGGGGGTGCACGTCGCCAGCTCGCACTTCTCGAAGATCAGAGCCAGGAGGGGAAAGAGGGGATGCCTGCAACACAGAAAAATATTTTAAAATACTATTTTAGAAAACACCATGTATTTGATACGGAATTTTTTTGCCTACATCTTGAAACAGTTTCATTTTTTATGTATGGTTCTTAGAATAATAACGCATAGAAACCTAGTCCGCACACGCTAAGTGAGGCAAATTGAAGCACGCTAAAAGGGCCTACACGACCGGGCGGGCCTTCAGTGCTCAAGGTCAACTTGCACCGCGAACAGATCAAGAATTTTAGCTAAAATAAAGAATTGTGCGGTAAATGAGTGTAAAAATACGTCAGACAAACATAAAATAGATACTTACATCACATTCCACAAGGAAGTAACGCGTTTCAACTTGTAGGTATTTTTATATAAATATTCACTAAAACCGAAAATTAACCTACTACTAAAACTAGCCTACATGAATTCGATTTTTGCCTCACTTGTGACAGTACGTTTGATATGAAACTACCATTCTATGCGTTATTATTCTAAGGTATGGTTGTTATTCTTACTAACTTAATATATTTCTTTTAAACACTCATAAATGAATTTTGCCCTGAACACGTTTTAACTTAAGGTTTATTCAAAACTACAAAACAATAATAAAATAATTATAATTAATCTTCAAAACCACAAATCAAAAAGCCCATAAACTTTTAAAGCATCCCTTTAAATTCAATACGTTCTTGATTACCTCGGAGATGGTACCGCGATACCACATATTAAAAACAAAAGGCTGTACAACTCTCGACCTTTGCCGCGCGATCACAGATTAGATATAGATTGTGCAGACGTGACACTGATATTCATCGTCATTCTGCCAAAGTTTGTGTAAGGGGCCAGTGTTAGCGGGGCAAAATATTCGAAACCAAAATTGTACTTACAATGATAAAAGCACTATATGTAGTATCATAAAAGACAATTTTCAGTTACTGGAATGTCAAGCAAACATTACAATGTGTGAAAATACGTCTAGTATACTCAAATTTTAAAATTAATGACAAAAAATCGTCGTGGAAAGAAAATCATTAGCGCACATTCTGTCATTAGTTTCTGTCTCATCTGTTCATTATATTTCTGGTACTCAACGTACATTTATTAATTACTGTATTGATTCACAATACAAAGATTGTATAGTTGTCATAAGATAAATAATGAAAAATAAATATTAGACAACATTACATACGTTGCTCTGATCCCAAATTAAATAACTGAAGCACTTGTGTTATGGAAATCAGAAACAACAACGATACCACAAACACCCAGACCAGAGACAATATTGGAAAGTTAGTTTTACATTGACAGGGGAAAGAACCCAGGACCTCGGCAACACCATGAAAACCAGTATGCAAGCCGCTCGGTCTCGGAGGTCGTGCACAAGTATAGTTTCACTGTGCACGACGACATCAGACAAATAAAACATATGTCATGTAGAAAATAGTAATCAGAAGAATGTACTACATCTGTGTTCTGTCTGGTCTGTGTTTCTCGAATGTTACAATTTGAGGCACAAACTGCACAGGCCTTTACTACACAAACGCGTCGTCAGCCTCATCGTCTCATAACATCAGTTGAGGTTCCAAGCGTTCGTCAATTTGCTTTAAAAAAAACTTGTATTCCATTATTTTAATACAATTAAATATTTTTGAAATAGTACTAACTCATAAATAATCGTTGAAAGCATCTGGATTAAACGGGAATGCCAATTTATAAAAAAAAGCCACACACGCAACGTCCATTTCTGTCTGAAATGCTATTTTTGAACTGGCATTCTTTTTTTAAAAACAGGTCCCATCCACAACTGTAAATGTGCTAGCACTGTTTAAAAAGGTAAACACACAAAATTCCTTAGTGTCGAGAATAAAACACAATAAGCGCATCAAGCAAGCGCGTTATGCAAGTAAATGTCAAATTTAAAAGTAACTTTACTCACGGTACTAGACTTGGACAACTCTTACTCGGAGTATTTGTATGTAGAAAAGCTCAGGCGTAATTGTTTGTAATGTAATGTCTTTTTATCATCAAAAACACACGAACACACAAACAATACACAGACAGCCAGGGATAATGTTTTAACCTGCTTATCCTAGGATACGATCCCCTGGTGGATCCGTATTATTTATTTTATATTATTTTTATTACCATCGGATCAGGAATAAATAATTATATTATTCCCACCTGATACCCTGGTACTTACAAGTTTATTTTTGTTAGGTACTGTGGTACATGCAATAAGAAAAACATTTAAAACCTCTAAGAGATGACGCAAAATTTACAAATTATGTTATCACAAATACGACACTAACCAACTTTTGGCTGGGAATGTCACAGTTAGTCAATGAATAGTATTATATAATATAATATTTGATTTTAAAATTTCCTTTTCTCTTGGCTGCACTTACCTTACAAATACAATGAGTGGATCCGGTGGAAGTTGCAAAATATAGAGTGAATCAGTTGGGATTTAAAACTGGGATCAGATGGGAATAATGCTTTAATCTTGCCTAAACAATTTTTTTGTTGTAAACCGTAAAGCTTGAAAATAAATACGTTATTATTAATACGAGTTATCAAAGTATCTACACAACCTGTTTTTTATTACAATCAAAATTAACATGTAGCTTTAAAGTCGTTGATCTCGTAAACGCAGTCATACTATTATTTTATTGTACACAGATAGGATCTAGTCACTCGAGTGTGAAGCAAAAACTACTTGCTTGTTACTCTTTGAGCTAACAAAAAAACGCAGAACCCGCGGCAATGTAATTCAGTCATATAAATTACTATTTAATTACTATACTTTCCTTACCGATGCCAGGTTAGACTAGTAAATGTAAAAAGTTAAATAGTGAAGTTAAAAAAGTGATGACCTTTTTGAAAACTCAGTTCTAGAATAAAATCCTGGAACGCGTTACTACTTAAAAGTTCTTTCTGGAAGGTGTGTTATGATCTATGAGCAGATAAGTTGCGTTTTTTTGTTTGCATTTTTTTCAAATTCAATTTTCAAATTTAACCAAGCAATAAATAGAAGTCCGTGGTCTGTTTAATTAGCATTTTCTTGCCGTTGGAAATTAACATTAATTTTCAATAGCCACTATGTTTTTGTAACTTGCATTGTATTTATAATCTAGGTTATCTTTTTAGAACATTGAATGATTAATTCTTTTATTCACTTTTTTAAAATCATTATTAACCCCAAACTGCATACGACATTCTCGTTATTAAAAATACTTTTTTTAAATAAACGGTGCCCCAATATAGATTTGGACTTTACGTATATTTCAAAAAACAGGCAGTATTATTGCTAAGAAGCAATTATATTTCATGCAAACTATACATAGAAATATTAGGTTTTTATTGAATATCACAATGTTCAATTATTTTTGTGAACTTACTCAACTAGTTTGTAATAATTATTAATTACACTAAGAAGCTATGAGCCACGGTATGGCCAGACCGCTGGTTCGTGTCCAGTAGTAGTGTCTTGGTAATTAGGCAGAAAATTAGGAGATGCAAAAGAGATTTCAAAGAATATCTTGTAATTAAAAAAACTACATTATCAATATACATTGTCCTACCAGTTAAACTGCCTCTGTGGCCTAACGGTTATCATGATGGACTGCCACGCAAGAGATCTCGGATTCGAATCCCGTGCCGGGAGAAATATTTGCATGGCATTTTATCTCGTGAGTTTGAGTGTAATTTGTGGTTGTCTATGTGTGTCCATGGCACCAGCGATACAGGGTTTCCCTAGTGCAGAGCTATGAGTGTGTAGGTTATTATTATTATTAAGATATTTTCTTGTACTCGACTGCAGGTCGGATAATTGGAACCAGGTACGTGTCTAAGCCAAGTATTCTGGTTCGGTTGTGGTATTGTGGTGGAATGTGCCAGAGTGGTGATTTTTTGTGGAGTTTGTCGAATCAGGTGTATTTAAGAAACGGCGGACTTTCAAGCATGTGTCTAGTACAATTGACTTTTGTAGAGGTATGTAGGTTTAAGGGTGCAGATCTATCATTTTTAAGGCAGTATGAAGGATTTTCGCTAAAATACCAGTTGATGAAATTATAATGGGGACTATTTTATGGTTTCTTGGTGCCACATTTGTTTGATTTCGTCTGTTAAAGGTACGTATTTTTGTATTTTTTCAGTGTGTTTCTGTTTTAGGTTGTTTGTATTGGGAACGGCAATATCTATGAGGTAGGTGGTCTTTATTATTATTATTTACTTTATTCTTCTCAGCTTGTTAGCTGGTTTGAACCACATTTACGCACCTAAATCAAGTAAATGCAGTATGGTGTGTATCTACAAGTATGTGATGGGTGTGTAATAAGACCCTACTTCGTCCTAATGTGTTTTAATTCCTACCTAACCTAACCGAACCTAATCGTGTCTTTGCGATAAACATTCAACATATCCTGAAAGAACAACTGTTTCGTTATAATTCGGTTTTCGGTGTAATGAAAATTCGAACAAACGTTATTTCGGACAAAAAAATTATTATCATTATTATAGTTACAAACAACATAGAAATCATATTTATTTACATCCTCTAACAAAATGCAATAGCTGTTCAATAGCAGTTGCAGTACCATTCAGAGCTTTAAATTCTAAAATCTAAGAGGCACTGTCACTGCACCCGTCACTTTGAGACATTTGACAAGTTCCATGTGCCTGTAATTTCACCATCACCCTTTCAACAACTTTTTCACAATGAGCTTTCCTTCTAGGTACTGCTACTGTATAAGTAGAAAAAAGTCGTAGAGCAAAATTCTGGAGTATTTTTTTAAGTCCCATGTTAGTAATCAGTACTAACGTAAATCAGAAAAATATTGTTTTTATTATTAACAAATTAATATTACCTATCAGGAGTCTGAAATGACATTTTCCAGAAATAACGTTTGGTAAAAATTTCATAACCTCGACAATAATTTTGCGAGTAAAAAGTTTTTTCTTTTAAACCTAACCTAACCGAACCTAATCATGTATTTGCGATAAACATTC